CCCGTTCGATTCATGGGTTGATCCGCTTGAGGAGTTGACGAAATCCCGGATGTCAGACTACCACTATCGGGAACAGTCTGGCAGTTGAAAGAATTGGTATTTGTGGCAATAGTTGTGGCTGTCGTTTGACCAGCCGAGGCGCTCGGGGTGGAAGTCGTGGTGTTGTTGTTGTTTGTAGTGGGAGTGGTGTTCATTTGCACTTTGTTTGGTTCCGTTAGCTCGGACGATTGCGAATACTGATCCACGCCTGAATTCTTCATTCGCTCCGGAGATTTGACTGGATGAGGTACGGTGCCCATCTGTGAATTTGTATTCGTCAGTGCTGAACCGATACCGGATGATGCCGTGCCGCTCTCCTTCTCCCAAGTTTCTGAAAACAAACAGAATGACGTAATTTTGTATTTTCACTCTGAATACAAAAATAGATAAAAATAAGCCAATCTTACCAGATATCGTTTCCAACTATTCCTATGTTTAAATCACATTCCAGAAACAAGACAAAAGGTAATTGGCTTCGGATGGGAAATAACAAAGCATTCGTTTGTTTGCTTATTACAAATATGGAAAATGTGTTGTATTGTTTTAATTAGGGAATTGCAAACATTCACACCACCGGCTTCGTTTCAACACCATATTTCGTTATGTGTTCAGCCGACTAGGCTACAGTCTGGTAGCCGGGAAACCCCAAGGAAAGTTAGATCCGACAACAATTTTTTTGACCTTCCACATCACAGCATAACCTGTCCAACTCGTTTCTTTTACCATTCCTGTTCGTTATCTGAAAATAAATCACGGTAGAGTAGATTTTGCTCAGGTATCCCAAGACGTAGAAGTCTATTCTATCTTCGTACTGCCCGCGGGGTTTATCAGTTATCATTTAAGCTCTTTGTGAGGTCACGCTTAATCATAATGGCTGTCTGCTAAGATTTACCGACAAGCGTCCAGAAGCCTGAGGGATCAAAAGGTAACCCAGTGCTCTACAAGAAATTTAGCACCACATATCATAGCGTTCATAGAAGTACTATTGCAAGCCGCAAAGGATTGATCTAAAACAAACGATTTGCACTTTAGCTTTCGCGTAATAGCATTTACTTCATGGACTGGAAGAAAAAGACTTCACGTCATTATCGAGATCCCTTAAACTTTTGTCCGGCTACAGTGGAGTTGATAGAGTTGTTTTCGTTGATTTCCTTATTTCCAAGCATCTTAAAACTTGTGATACATTCATAAACAGAATAACACGTGATCGAGGGCACTGTCTGCAACAAGATATCGTGGAAGCCCTGTAAAATTCCCGACCTCGCTCCAGATATCAACTCCTTCCTGCGTTTACTTACTTCTACATATCGAAACAGTGAAATTGCATACCTAGTTACTGGTCAATCGTCAGAATATTCTCATCCACCTAAAGGGAAAACTCTTTTACTATTTTTTCTCTTATCTACACAGGTGTGGTATTTCTTATATTGTCTTTTTTGCAATTGGTTTTATCTACCTGCTGTAAAAAATCGTAAATTGCTGGAAACGCACCCTTTGGGTGCATAAAGCTTTTCTTGACTTGACTTGAATGGTGATGAATCGCTCTAACTACTGACAAATTTGTCAGTAGTTAACACAATGTTTGGAAAACCTTATTGGAAAGCTTTTCAGAAGAAAAAGTGATGACTGCAATTTGAAAGTTATGATCACAAATAAAATAAGGATAAATTTTCCACCACTTAAGCGACAAAGTATTACAAGTTGTCTATTTATAAAATTATCATTAGTGCTTAACCAAGTGCTGACGTCTTAGGGCAACTCGGTTTATTTTCGTGTTTACTCATGACGGTAATCAGCAATCAATCCAGTTCACGTCACATATCAGGGTATTTTTCAGACTCGATGTCAGCATGCTGATACGTTCGAAAGGCGGCTAAAAGTATGCGCTTGAACTTTTCCGGCGCCCCGTGCGGTGGAATATGTAGCACTGGTGGATAGAGAATCGTTTGTTAACAGAACAATCGTGCACAGTTAACCATGGCTGAATAGCCAAAACAAATACACATCTGCATGTATTCTTCATTAACATTGAGAGGGCTTGTAAAAAATGATTCCCAGATGCACCCCCCTATCCCAAGTTCCAAATCAGGCGTTCTCATCGAACACGCATGCTCTTCGGGCGGTATTTCGTCATCTTGAGACATACTAAGACATCGGAGCATCCACCTCGATATGTTTGGAGTTGTAAATGAATGTTTACTAAACTGATCACTAAATAGAGCGATCAACCGGAAAATCGATTAAAAAAGCCGTTTACGCAAGCTGAACAATCACATGAGAAGAATCGGGCAGGTGGTGTGCTTGTTTGAATAGCACTCACGGAGCAGGGGGTCGGTGCGAATACATGCCCGGACACGAACACACCTGCCTTCGTGCTGGGCCTAAGAGCTGAAGAATAACTCGACCGAAGAGTTTAAGATATGCATGTGCACGATAACTGTTACCGAACAAGAAACCCGTTTTGAGCGTCCATGGTTTTCTCCATTTCATCAGACGCATACTAATTATTTATAATAAAATCACAAAGTTCAGACTTTGTGTCAAGTCTCTTTTAGCTCAGTTGCATCCAACGCATAAAGTTGGGTTTGAATGATCATACCAATATATAAACGGACGCATAAAGAAGATCTCGCTCCTTGGAGAGGTCGTTAAGTCCGATGAATCCTCTAAAGTGATAAGATTGTGTGCTTTTTGACGAAGAGCAGTGGACAGCTGTTCCATTCTTGTTGGGATTCATCAACAGTGAGTAATAATTTCGGTGTTCCGAGAAGATCTTGAATCAAGATGTCAAAACATACATTCATTTTGGCCTGTTCGCAGTGGTTGGCAATCTGTTTACAAACGTTTCATCACCAGCCCAGGTAACATCTTCATGTCCATTATGTGCTGGTGTTCTGTTTATAGTGCCCGAAACACGATATTGGGCGAACTGAAAGAAAAATACTGACAAGGATCCGTGAACATCAATTGGCAGTCAGGAGGCACGACCAAATCTCGGCGATTGCACTCCACGAGGATCAAGGACATTGAGTTGACTTCGAATCAGTGACAATCATCGACCGAGCCCGGTCAAAATACACCAGAGAATTTCCCGGGGCTTGACACTCTTTAATCAACTCAGTGAAAAATCATTAAACTGGATCAAGTGTACATGTCAATCCAACTCAGTGAGCAAATAACGAAAACAAAAGGTTTCATTGTAACCCGATAACGGACCTAAAAAGTCATTATCCAAACGGAAGAATACCACCCAACCCCGTTCTCTCTCTTCAAGCTAGTTCAAAAGTGAATCGGGAGCAAGGGACAATAATAGTAGCTGAAGATGAATATACACAGGCAAATGGGTTTGGGTAGAACCGCGATACTTCACATGCACTGAAGGTATCACCTCGGCTAATGTGTACGTTTGTAAGCAAACAATCAAACTCGGCGAACAGGCGGAAATAAATTCAGACGACCAGAACTACGAGAATCGATTCTCAATACCTTTCAAGTCAAAACCTTTAACTCGAGTTATAAGGTTGACGGCCAACACCTTGAGCGAATGAAAATATCAATTTGGGGTATTTTATGTGAGTTAGTCTAAGAGGTGAATCGCACACTGCAAAACAAGAAGACCATACACAGTGACTCGTACCTGTCGAATCTTAAGAAAAGTACAAATTTGACAATATCCTTACATATACATGAATTATTACCATTATGTCCTACATGTTGGTGGTGATAAGAACTAAGCGTGGTTTCAACCATTGCAATCGATTTTTCAGGGACCAAGACAATGGATGGAAAAAGATTAATGAAATATACCATTCGGAGACACCATCTGGTTGGGAATACCGGTGTCCATAGCTCGACCAATTTGATCTGTCGATCCCGGATAGACTAAATTCGGTTTCAGCTCATCCTCGAAACCGGTGGATGAGATCACATGTTGCGACCGTGACCGAGTGTGATCAGATTGGGGCGTGGACACAGAGCCCTGTAGTAGACGATCCCGTTCTTCCGGCCAGTAGTGAGATGCATTCTCCGTTCGCCGTGCGGCTTCTTCCACGTTGGTCTCCGTGCTAGCGGAACCAGGCACCATTTGGCCGTTGTGTGCCGAAGACCACGAAAGCTGGTGCGAAGCGCATTGTTCCTGTTTCACCTGGGGCGCTGACACAGCGGATGTATTTGGACTGAGCCAATTAGTGCCGGGATTAACCGCGTGTTCCGGTGTGGAATGTGTGGGTGGTACACGCAGAACCAGATTGTTGCTCAACGTGTGCTACAACGGGAATCACAGCAGACAAATCGATCTCTCACATTAGACTGAATAATTGTAAAATATCGGTGATGGAATGCGATTTGAATGTGATCTGTGTGCAATGCACAGTGAACTGTTTATCGTTAGAAGAAAAACCGACCAGATGTTAGGCAGCAACCGGACGGAACTTTATGGGTAACAAACACATTCACGGAGGTCCAAAATAGCATAGAATAACATAGCCAATGGAATTTGACAAAATTACTATGGTAACCTCAGATGAGGCATCAGACTGGAAGTATGTATATTGCATACACGAACTTGAGAAAATTACTTCGTTATCCTCGTCTGAAACTCATCATTGATGTGGTCATACGAGACAAGACGTTTTGTGGGAATCTGTTTGTGTGTGTGCATGTATACTACAGTGTGTGAGTGTGTGTAAAGTTATTTAAACTAGTGGATAAGTAAGTTATATATATATATATAGAGAGAGAGAGAGAGCATGGGTAAGACAAGACAATAACTTCCTGTGCACGTGTGTATGCATATGTGTATAGATGTTTGCATGTTGCCATGGTGATCAACGTACACTGAACTCACAGAACGAATAGGCGAAGTGCAAAAATGTGAAGACCTATAAGATCTACCAGTGACCGACCGCCTGAATGAGCAAAGCAACTGAAGCTTGTGAGAGATTTCACGGACCACCCCGTTGAACGGGTGGTTGAATTGGTAAAACACGCACACAGGAAATTTAGTGTTAATAAAATTCAAGAACGTATTCATTTCGTTTCGGTGAAAAAACGGTAGTTCTGACGGGAAGAGTAGAAGCGGATATTGAGCAGCATTCACTCTGGGTAGTTAATTTTTTTTGAAAATCAGTTAAAGAACCCATCAAATGGAATGATGTGTTGTTTTCGAAACAGATTCCGGACAAAACTGACTGTTTTCCATATAAGGTTAATGAATATTTAGTAACAATTTTAGTTATTGCACTTCAGGTATTGACAAAAAATAGAGTTGCAGAAAGAAGACACTTGAAAAAACATAAATTGACAACTCCGGTTAGTGATTGATTGGAACTGATCATCCTTCCAAAACTTCACCTTCACGCATATTCCTCGGCTCTTCCAGTTCACCATACACTTGCAAACACTAGACTCGAGTTTCACTCTTATTAAAGCTCATCAGTAGTTCCAAACAATCAATATTAATTATCCCACAACACTACACCCAGGTAACTGTGAGCTAAATGAGAATTCAGGTTAGCCCCGATCTGATGTGTTCGGAGTTTACATCCCTGACGGGACTGTCGATATGCTCTACTGATGAGCCCTAAGGAAAGCGAAACTCAAGTCTAGTGCTTCTCGAATGCCTGGTTTATTAGATCAACTGAAGACAATGAGTGAAAGTGAATTGGGAACGATGTGGAGTGTAAATCAACGTTTGAATATAGCTAAAATGGAACAGATAACGAGTTTCTTGATGGGCGGGCTCTTTTGGTCCAGGTACCGAATATACTTCAAATCAAACAGGTCTAGTCGTTTTCAGATCCGACATTGAAAAGATCGATAGCAGTAGGCCAAAATGAAAACCTTCCATCAGTGGGTTCCGTTCGAATCGTTTCGGCACTCAGTACTCGAACAATATAGATAAATCAGAATACTTTATTGTGCGTAAACAAGACACACGAGCTCAAATGAGAAGAATAATGGGAGTACATGGGAGGGGGAGGGAGAGGTACGAACAGCTCTCGTCAGAGGCTTCGTTTGACGAGCTCACAGCCAAACCGTTATTTTACCAATGGCTACCGGAGCGGAATGGCTTACTCGGTTACTATGCGTAATTAGTTGAATGTTCTCTCGATATATTCGCCCTATAACTATATGTCTGTGTATGTAGTATCAACTAAAATCTCGGAGAAACAGAAAAAAAATAGCACAAACATAGGGTTATTCCATCTGGAGTTACCTTGGTAGGTCACCTGAAAACCACGCCGAACAGTCATGATCAAACACTACGATTCACAATGACGAATACAAAGCGAGGAGAAGCGAAACGTTTAGGGGGTTTATAGGCGAAACGACAATTATCTATCTGTTGGAAAAAAAACGGACCTGGGGTTCGCTCAACATAAACATCTTTGTTCAGTTAGTAGTGTAACCTGATAATTATCAGTGAGACACAAACGGTCAGGTAGTGTTTATCATAGAAGAAGGTAAAATAGTTTTAAAGCATCAACGGATTGTATTAATGTGATGGTGCTGGTGGTGGTAACCTTTTTGTATTTATCTTATGTGTGCCTCGTACCTTATTCACCTCCTACGGTGAACTAGGAAACATGTAACGTGGTGAAAATAAGCGTAGTCTATGGCGGTGTTTGATCTATATATAAATCAAGACTTCGTTAACGGTCGTAGAGGCCGAGTTAAATCGGGCTCAAAATCTTGGACTCATCACTAAAGAAGTATTTTTTAAAACTTTTGGGTGTCACTCCTACTTTTTTTGTTTAATTTACTTTATCTTAATTGGCTTCGATTAATTGTGATTGTGAACCTATCTGCTGGGACACAGAACGGCAAAAGGATTGTGTCTAGTCGAGTGATGGAACAAACACGTTCCACTGTAAGATTCGACCCCGAACGACGCAAATCAACACAGCTTTAGTCCTTATTGACAACTCACAAAAATAACAATACTAGGTCGCAACAAGAACTCAGATTGATCTGTGCACAGCATTCAAAATGGGTCGTTCGCATCGTACGAATTGTTATTGGTCATCAGAAACCACATCCTGTGCTGTGTTCATAGAACTGTCTTCAGGCTGCAGCGTTTGTGATACGACAAGGTTTGGCTTGTACAGTGCAGTCTAATGGAATAGTGATCACAAGTCTCGACAGAATACGAATTCACAGTGCGTTTGGTTTTAAGTTTTACTTTGTTTCAAGTGGCAATGTTCGGGGATACAGTGAACACTTTCCGGACGTTGGAAATTTCCACCACAACGTGAGCTGTCATGAGAAAGCCCCGTATTGTTCGTTATCTTCCACTAAGGCTACTATTGTAACCGTTCGTTTCTCCTGCATACGCGTCCAATGGACTGGCACTATCGCGGTCCAGTAAGAAATGATGTTGCGGCGTAGTTATAATTGGCGCCTTCCATTGACTAGGCAACGTATCATCACACTTCAAACCCT